GGACTATGTTCTTTCCCCTACAATATTCAACTATGCGATGGACTGGAGAATCGCTTGTCGGCACTCAAGAGAGGTGCAAATCAGTCCAAAGCATAGCATCACAGACCTCGAATATGCTGATAATGTCGTCCTTTTTGCTGACAGTTATACGGAAATACAAATAATGTCAATAACTGCAGCAAAAATTGGACTCAAAATCAATGTAAATAAAATGAAAGTGCTTTCGTCTTATCAAGGTGCTGATAAAATATCTATTTTTATCAATTCATTACCGGTTGAGAAAGTACTTGGCATTAAATACCTATCCTAAGCGACCAGGCAAAGGATGAAATATGGAAACCCGAATAACGACAGCTAAAAATGTGTTTTTCCGGTTGATAAAAAGTACTTTATGGAACAGTCGCGAAATCATCATAAAGAAGAAAATCTGCGTCCACATAATTGTAATTCGCTCGATCTTGCTATATGGCTGCGAAACATGTCCAGTGAGAGTGGAGGATAATAAGAAGCTACCAGTCTTTGACCACTCAGGTCTTAAGATATATTTTACGGATTCTTCGAGTGGATAAAATCGCACAATTCTTCGTGGAAAATATTTGCTCATTTGTCATTTTTTTAAGCGAAAATCGATCATATATAACCGCTATTTTGACGCTGAAATTCTGTCTAATCTATTCTAGACTAAGGCTGAACAATTGATTGCATTATTAATTAAGCTGTCCATTAAAAATTATAAAGTTTTGAATTCGATTGAAAATTTAGGAAATTTTTTGAGTAAGAAATGTAAAAAAATATAAATATAAATATAAGATTATATAAAATTTCACATGCAAATAACGGTGACAAATTCGTTTCTTTTTTTGAATGCACTATGCACATTTGAATTGGCTTATTGCATGGATATATTTTCGTGCCTTTTAAATTTTTGAGCATTTTTTTGTCGAAAATTATATTTATTGAAAAGGAAATCGTTAGTTCTTATCGAATATATCGATTTATAGCAATAAAACTACCAAATATTTAATGAAATTTGTTGCTTTGGAATAAAATTTACATGAAAATGATTTTTCTTAGTGAAAATACTCTTGGGTAATAAAAATAGATAGAATTAAGCAGATTATTTATATAATTCTAACTGATATACTGATAATGATCTACTGATAAAACAATTCCAACTCCAAAATTATTAAGTAGCGCGTGCTAATTTTCTCACTACTACGAGATATCGCCAGCATTATCAGGACGAGTTTGGACGAGTGTATTATTGCCGAGAGTGGAACCTTGTATCGGTGCTGCTATCGTTAACCCACTGAGCCCTTCCGCTTTCTTTTCGCTATGTTCGTTTAACAATTCATCGAATTAGCTTTATATTCGTCACTACGCCATTAGATAACCGAAAAGAAATTTGGACTTTGTAGACCTCTGCCTTAATATAAATCTCTATGCAACTGCATGATTCGACCGTTGTATTATCTCATCTAAGCTCTTTAGCATATTTGTTCGGGTCATCGTTATTGCATCATCATTTATTGTGGGTGAAAATAATGTTTGTCGTATTTTTTGAGATATTATTACTACTTGCAACTAATGACTTATTATAATTTATACTAATATTTATTATTCTTAGATTTTAATTACTTTATAACTTATCAATTATGGAATTATTGCAGATAACATGATTATCTCATAAAATATTATCAATCTAATATTATCAATTCAATTGGTTTTATTGAATTAATAATCATTTAATTATAAATTTATTTATTGATAAGAGTGAATCTGTCATAACAGCTAAAAATTTTTAAATATTTAATATTTAACAAGCAAAATTAGAAATGATAGTTATGCTAATAGAAGCAGAAGAAACAAATTTTATTATTTTATATATCAAATAATATAATTTTTATAAGTTAATATTGCTGTATAAAGAAGAACAAATGAAGAAGAAGTGGAAAATGAAAGCCAAAATATTCGCAGTGATAATTGAAGCTTGGAATTGTAATTCTTAAACCAGAAAAGTAGGTTCAAGCGAATTCCAGGAATTATGTAAGTGATCTCCATTCAGAAGAGCGCAGTTCTGGGAACAGCTAAGATAATGCACATGACTGTCAGTCTTACAGGTAATTAATCTCTGTTGGATTCGAGATTGAGGATGATTCTTATCATCCTAAGAAGGAAGAGATTTTTTTAAAAATTTATTTAATATCCAATTATTAAAAACGACTGTATTGATTGCAAAGGGCGATATTCGTTTTGAGTTGTTTAATAAATTTTTTTGTATAAAAAAATCTCTATGAAATGTGATAACAGATAAGAAAATATTTGCTAGATTTGCTAATTATTTATATTAGAATTTATCAGAATACTATATTTATTAATATTACATTTGATAGTGAACATTTTTTTACGTGACGATTACTGACAATTACGTGATTGTATATGATAAATTTTAGTATGATTAGGTAATAGAATGGCTTAATGAGTTGTTGCTGATACATTTCAGTACGCCGATGCTCGAAATTCTACTTTCTGATGGGAGTAAATTGTCTTTTAAAAATCCTAGTAATGCTGATAATTCATCTGTATTCATAACTAAATGGTTCACCGACGAAATTTATCTGGTACCATAGCCGAGTAGATAGATTCTAATGAAGTGATTTATAAGCGATTTCGAAAAAAAAAGCAATTATATTGAAATATGATTAATATTAATTAGAAGCAAAAATTTATATACATTGATTGATTATATAGTGATAAGAATCAACGATTTTAAGTAAATTATTCTTTAAAGAAAAATTTGCTAAATGAAGAAAGTTCAATTTGGCTTGAACCACTCTTAAAATTTAATTTGGTAATAAGGAAATATTTGATAGTGAATGATGGAGAATTGCTTAGCTTCATTAGTTCGTTACGATCTCTGATCAAGTAAGTTTTCTGTACAAACAAATGAAGTGGATGCCGGTTAATTTTTTTTTTTGCTCTATGCTTGCTCTATGCATCAATATTATCATCATAATCATCGCAGTTTCTGCAGTTTAATTTTTTTTTATATGGCTTATCTTTTTTTTTTCTGGACCTAATTCTAGTTTCGGCTGGCTCCACTGGCTAACTAAGGTGATAGTTGTTTTGGCCGAAAATCATTTGACGACAGAGAAACACGTAAATCTATAAAAGTCACTCGCATTACGTTTTTAGTGGCAGTTTTATTTTCATCAAGGAATATTCATTCATCTATCCATTCAACCGATATGATTCAATTATGAACTATAAATATTTTTATTTTTTTGAATCAGTTGAAATGCTTAGATTTATTTTTTATTCAGTACTTCTCAAATTATCAATAATTATCTTTCATTCATTCATAGTAGGTAGCAACTAGTAAAAGTAAATCTATCTTTCAAAAATCCGAATTATTTGGCAAGATTCGTCTATCCGTTAAATGAGCAGAGCGAGTCGAGCGAGGAATGGCGCTTCTCAAAAAAAGGCGAAATTTTATTCGGTTAAATTTTAGTAATCAGACTAATATCGCTTTTTTTCCCCGTACACTGATAGTGATAATGAATGATTGAAAATTTCCTGGCTTCATAATTTATATATTGATAATATTTTGATAATCGCTTTTAATATGTTACTTAATAGCAATATTGGATATTTTTTATTGAAATGAATAGATAATGGGTTTTCGGTTTTTCTTAGCGATATTGGCTAAGAAATGGGATTAGGACTTAGTAAAACATTATGGAACATAATAGGAAAATGTTGAGAGATTTAGTTGAGCATACAGAATCGATCAAATTTTTTCGATTTTGAAGGTTTAAATGAGGCTTCCATCGTGAATGTACCTTATTCATTTCATAGATTTTCAATTTTCAAATATCCTAGTTTTTTTTCAATTTTTCCAGAAATTTAATTTATCCTTCAAGGCGAAATTCTTTGCTAAAAATTTATTTACTTTTATTTTATTAGAAAAATTATTGAAATAAATTGAGAGATAATTCTAAAAGCTTATTTCTATCTGTTGAATTTATTTTATAAAATATTGCTTCATTCAAGTGTGAATTTATTATTGTTGTGTTCATGGCAGTTCTTTTTAATCAACGCTATTTTGCTAGTAAATATAGTTGAATCTCGAGTTTCGCCAATTTGTCTCTATTCGCGATTTTTGCCAGGTTGACTTAAGTGAACATATCTGACGAAATTCACGGAATTCGCAAATGCTGTATAAACCAAATGAAATTTAGGATATTATTTCATATATTAATACTGAATAATGAATTTAATATTTATTAAAAATATAAATATTTATTAAAAATATTATAACTATTGTTGAAACTTAGTTCTCTAAAAAAAAGCACTACGTATTATCGCTTGGAAACGTCGCTTGTTTCGGTTCTCACGTTAGTCGGGATTAGAAAGGGGGTTATTTAATATTTACGAGGGGCGTCGCTCCTTATTTGTGCGGAGCTCAAGGTTCAACTGTTTTAATTGTAATTCTGCTTGCTGTGCGGGTCCACACACTCTGCCAATAATATTCGCATATATGAAATAAAATGATTTAAAATAATTTTTTAATTTAAATAATTTATTTAAAGTTAAAAATTTTGTTGAAATTAAGAAAAAAAAGAAAATTCTTTTTTATTTCGTTTATATATTTTAAATATTTAAATATTTAAATATAAAAATGTTTATATATTTTAAATATTTATTATTTTTATTCTATCATTAAATAAATTAAAATACGCATTTTGAATTCTATAAAATGTATAGAGCGCTATCAGTGTTGAGATGTCATCAGCAATTTTCATTTCGCCAATCAAATCATTATCATGCATGCAATTTATTTTACCACCATTCATTCGTTTAGATTCTTTCGCTCTTTCCTGCTGTTTTTTTTTTTCATTCTATTTCATGAAGAATTTATGGCATAGCCATTTTTAGCCATTTTAATATTTATCAATATTTCGCATTCAATTATTTATCGTTATAATTATTTTTAGGAAATGGCAAAGAAAAAGGGAACCGATATAAATGAACTGAAGCAAGAAGTTCGCATGGTTTGTTAATTTTTAAAATTTTTATTAAATTATTGATAAATTTAGTGCAAAAATACGATTAAATTGGATTGGATTTCATAATTTTAAAATCGTTTTTTTTTTCGATTACAAAACAGCGTGAAATTCATGTGCCATTCAAATTTTTTTTAATGTTAAAATATTCTAAAATAAAATAAACTTGATTTTGTGTAAAATAAGGCAAAAAAAAGAATATTGATTTATGTAGGAGAATATTTAAATATTTATCTATTTTAATTAAATAAATATTATTGAAAATGCTGTAATTTTTATATTACAGCATTTTCTTTTATATATTTTTTTTTATAATTTTTTAATTTTTAAATATAATTTTTATGCTAAAAAAAATATCGAAATATTTTTAAATTTTATATTTTATATTTTTAAACAATTTTAAATTTTTTAAGGATGAACATTTGGTCTCATTGGAAGAATTGGTGCTACGCTATGAAACCAATTTAGAAAATGTTTGATATATTTTCGTAAATTCGAATGAAATTTTATAAAAATTCATGGCATTTCATAGCTTTTTTTTCGAAATTATCTTTTTTTTAAATTATTTATTCGAAATAAGTCAAAAATCATATTACTAAATTTTGATCTTAAATATATTACTAAATGCAGTGGGATTTAGTACTTTGGCCTTCTATTTCCGATAGAAATAAGCCTATCATTGAAAAATGCGGTTGGTGAGACTGCTTCTAGCCAAATGAATCCCAGACAAAAATTTCTTACCACATGAGCAACAAGGCAAGCTAAATTTCTTGAAAAAAGATTTTTTTACCTCAGAAAAATTTATTGTCCTTGAAATAATTTGTCTTTTGCCTTGTAGTGAGGAAACGTTTAAATATTTGGATGAGACATTCAACATTAATTTTTATTTAAATAATTCTCATTATAATAGCAAAAGTGGATAATATTTTAAAAAAGTATTGTAATCGATTTAATTTAAAAAATTTAATTAAAAAATTTAATTAATTAAAAAAAAAACTAATTTAAAAAATCGAGTTTTATAATTTTGCTTATAAAGTTTATGATTTTAGGGTTTAACATCAACGAAAGCGGCTCAAATTTTGGCTCGAGATGGACCAAATGCATTATCGCCTCCAAAAACTACTCCCGAATGGTTAAAATTCTGTAAAAATCTCTTCGGTGGTTTCGCTTTATTATTATGGATTGGAGCCATCCTGTGTTATATAGCATATTCAGTGGATTATTTCACCATGGAGTATCCATCCAAAGATAACGTAAGTTGCAGTCTTTGCTACAAGTGCATTTATTTATTTAAAAAATATATTTGTGTATTTATTATTTCCTCCAAAATTGATCATATTATGTCAAAATTCTTAGTGGCAATCATAAAGTGCCCTATGCCCTCTAAATCTAATTATTCATGCTTGGAATCCCTTCCACTTTCAACGTACCACTTTACCATAAGCCGTCAGTAATATTCTTTTATATGTAAGCCATAGAATTTTTCAGGCGCGGCCTTACCTCTTTTACCTATTATATTCTACTAAAATCCCTCTAAGTCTCGCTAAATTCTCATAATATTCCACCTTAACATTACTGTTCTCTGTTTATCTATCTATTTTCATCTTTTATATAGTATGTTCTCCCTTAGTTCGCCTTAGGAATTCTGAAGCTTTCATAAACTTTTCACCCTCCCAAAATCCGCCTAATTACCCTCAACACCTTATCAAGTGACTCCGCATGAGAATAAATAATTTTCCATTCATTCCTCTTATACAGTGCTCATTCCACAGTCCTTATACTTCCTCACTGTTTATTGGTGACACCATATTAATCCATTTTTCCATTTTATATTATTTATCCTCAAAAACCCAACTTAATGCCAGCCATCACATTTTTATTGCCTCAGTGCTCTTTAGTGCTCTTTTGCCACAGCTGCAGTTCCAAATTTCAAAAATTAAAGTTGTAATGACAATGGATATCGAAGGAGAATAGAGAGTGAGTATTGAGGGGAATTGTTGGGATTTAGCGGTTTTCAGTTTACTGGGTTCGAAGGAATGTTGAGGTTATTCAGAAAAGCTTATAAGGAAATATCAAAAGGTATAGTCAGTCCTAGATCCTTATACTCGTTTTTTTTTTCCGTTCTCTCAAAAATATTTTTGAAAATCTATTCTAGTTCCACTTTTTTTCAATCGTTTTTGAAAGTTTTCTTCGGAATGAACATATCAGTATTTGTCAATTTCAGCTTTATCTCGGTATAGTGTTGATGAGCGTTGTCATTATCACTGGCTGTTTCCAGTATTATCAAGAAAGCAAAAGTTCGAAGATCATGGAATCTTTCAAGAATTTAGTACCCACTGTATGTTATTTATATTGGAAATATTGATGAATTTTTGGAGTAGAACGGAATAAATATGCTAGAAATATAATAAAAGCTAAGAAATTCAGAAAGATTTAGAGAAGATTTTTATGAGAAATGATTAATTTTATTTCTTTTAGTATGCACTTGTCCATCGCGACGGAGAAAAGCGTCAGATTCAAACTGAACAACTTGTTGTTGGTGACATAGTTGAAGTTAAAGGTGGTGATCGGGTACCTGCGGATCTTCGAATTATTACGGCATTCGGTTTCAAAGTGTTTTTTACTATATTTTGCTCATTCTTCAGTTTAATTATATAAAAATTTATATTACCGTAGAAAATATTACCGTTAGGGTCATTATTTTCGTTCAATTATCATTTTTATCCTAAAAACTAAGATTTCAGGTCGATAACTCTTCTCTGACTGGCGAATCTGAACCGCAATCTCGTTCGCCAGAATGCACCAATGAAAATCCTTTAGAAACGAAAAATATCGCATTTTTCTCCACCCATGCTGTCGAGGGAGCATGTAAAGGACTTGTGATCTACACTGGCGATAGAACGGTTTGTTGTTGCAGTTTTTATACCAATATTTAAGCGTTTTGAATGAGAAGATAAAATTGGTGAGAATGTATTTGTTGCATTGTTTGTATATTGGTTGCGCCTAATCATTCTGTTCTTTAATTTCCAGGTTATGGGTCGAATCGCTCATTTGGCATCAGGGCTTGATACTGGAAAAACTCCTATTGCTCGCGAAATAGAACATTTCATCCATATTATCACATCAGTCGCTGTTTTTCTTGGTGTCACATTCTTTATTATAGCATTCGTCTTGGGATATCACTGGCTGACTGCTGTTGTATTCCTTATCGGTATATTTTTTCTTTAAAAAAAAAGGATCTCATAAAAATTAAGAAAGAAATTAAGATAGAAGACACATTTAAAATAAAAGTTACCTAAAAAGTTAAATCGTAGATTTTTTTATAAAGTATAAAAATATTTTTTATATCCAAATAAATTGGAAAAGATTTTACTTAAATTCTCATATTCCTTTTTTAGTGCCTTTCAAATTTCAGGTATAATCGTCGCTAATGTACCTGAAGGTTTAATAGCTACAGTAACTGTTTGCTTGACTTTGACCGCCAAGCGAATGGCATCAAAGAATTGCTTAGTGAAAAATCTCGAGGCCGTCGAAACCCTTGGTTCAACATCTACGATTTGCTCTGATAAAACAGGAACTTTAACTCAGAATCGAATGACAGTTGCTCATATGTGGTACTGTTTTATCGCAAGATTTTAATTTAAGTTTCTTTTATGGCTGTTGCTTGATCTTTCGGATAAATCTACAGAAACAATTTTTTCTTTAATGTTGGTAAAAAATGGGGCTAGAAATAGGTTATAATAAAATTCGGTGATATTATTTTATCCATTATTTGTCCTTTCAGGTATGATTTGAACATCGAAGAATGTGACACTACTGAAAACCAGTCTGGTGTTCAGCAGAATATGGTTCGAGGCAGTACACTGGCATCACTCACTCGCATTTCTGCACTTTGTAATCGTGCTGAATTTAAGCCAGGCCAAGTAAATTATTTTTCGCTTGTAGTTTTGGTTTTTACCAGTAGGAAAAAGCTCATCCTACAGATTTTGAGGCACGAAATCGCTATATTATTCGCTATAATATTGTTTTAATGCATTCCCTTTTCTTCCCTCTCATTTTTGACCTACCTTTTACAATTTTCTAACTGCTGGTGTGGCAAAAATGCTCTGCAAAATCTGTAACGGAGCGTTAAGGGAATAAAATGAGAGAAAAGTGGTGTTAATCTGGCTTGGTAGAATAAGCAAAGAGATTTAAAATAAGGATATTATGTCGCAGCGAATGATATTTTATGGATGTCAAGAGGCAGAATAAGAGATAGAGGATTTCAGTACTGCAGGCCGATATTTTTTAGAATTTGATTCGCCATGCGTTAGTGATAGAATGCAGTAGGATTTGTTGGAGTATTAAGGAGGGTTGAGGAAGTATTGAAGGTGTTTGACCTTAATATTCTTAGCAACTTATCAATCAAAGCTATGATGGTTGGGAAATAGGGAAAATATGGATATTCAGTAGAAGTGACATTTTTTAATGACAGATTTGCTTTTTGAGGCATGATCCGGAGTTTATATGATAATCACATGGTTATCCATAAGAGGATGTATATGACATCCTCTACCGTCGAATTATAAGCGAAGTAAGGCAGGATTTGAAAGCTACGGGTATGAAAGGATATTACTTATGGATAGAACATTGGACGAGGAGCAGGTCAGATGGAAGTAACAGTATTTAGAAGAGTAGAAATGGTAATGGGAAGAATTTTATAAAAACGAGTAGATTTTTGGAGGAACAATAACTTTTTTCCAGATGAGTTTTTTCTGATTTTTGTATATTTTCAGGAAGATATTCCCATTTTACGGCGAGAATGCACTGGTGATGCATCAGAAATCGCTTTGCTCAAATATAGTGAACTAACCATTGGCAATATTTCATCATATAGAGCACGCAATCCGAAGCTTGCTGAAATTCCTTTTAATTCTACTAATAAATTTCAGGTAAAACTTTCTTTAATAATTATTGAGAAACGGATTTTTTTTAAAAATATATGTGGATATCATTTGAAGGTTTCTATACATGAAACCGACGATGGAAATGATGATTATTTGCTGGTGATGAAAGGTGCACCAGAGCGTATTCTTGATCGATGTACGACTATATTAATTAAAGGCAAAGAAGTTCCTCTTGATACCAAATTAAAAGCGCATTTTAATGATGCATATCTCACGTTAGGTGGTATGGGCGAGCGTGTACTTGGATTCTGTGAGCTTCGTTTAGATCACAACAAATATCCGAAAGGTTAATTTTTCTCTAATTCTTCAAGTAAACAAGAAAATCTAGGATTAAATAAGAAAATTCATGACCAAAAAAACCATAGTTATTAATTCCTAAATTCCTCGTTTATTCATCCATTTTTTCCGTTTTATGTTTAATTTTATAATTTTTCTAAGGATTTTTTTGGAAGTATTATCGATTACGGATTATTGAAGTTTTAATCACATTTCTTGATTTTTTAAAATTATTGACTTGTCATTTTTAAGATATAAAAAATTTTTTCTTAATTTCTTGTTATCATTCTTAGACTATGCTTTTGATACGGAAGAGGTGAATTTCCCAATCGATTCCCTTTGCTTTGTTGGTTTAGTGTCTATGATCGATCCTCCTCGTGCTGCTGTACCTGACGCTGTTGCTAAATGTCGTTCTGCTGGTATTAAAGTTGTCATGGTGGGTTTATCCAACTACATGTATTTGTATTTTAATAATTTAGCTTTTTTAAAGTGATTTTCACATTATAAAATGCAAGGATCACAGGTTACCGGGGACCACCCAATCACAGCAAAAGCAATTGCGAAATCTGTTGGCATAATTTCAGAAGGGACAGAAACTGTTGAAGATATCGCCATTAGAAAGAACTGTACTGTTGAGGAGGTATACTTTTACATTTGTTTATAGATAATTTGATAATTTGAGGTGACTATATATATATATATATATATATATTAAAATCAATCAACCTAAGCCATAAATTTTGTTACCATTCCAGGTTGATCCTCGTGAAGCGAAGGCAGCTGTCATTCATGGTTCGGATCTTCGGGAAATGACAGATGAACAATTAGCAGATGTTATCAAAAACCATTCTGAAATTGTATTCGCACGTACTTCTCCTCAGCAAAAACTCATGATCGTTGAAGGTTTTCAGCGTCAAGGACAAATTGTTGCTGTTACTGGTATGTGCTTTTCATTAAAATTTTTTAACACGCATTTCTCTTATCTATCACGTTTGGAATGTTTCTCATAGCTTATAAGTAATATGCTGACTTTATTGTTTCTATTCAAAGTACCTTTCGAATACATTCGTTCCATACCATACGATTTAAATTTTATTCAGGTGACGGTGTTAACGATTCACCAGCATTGAAGCGTGCAGATATTGGCGTCGCCATGGGTATTGCTGGTTCTGATGTATCAAAACAGGTATTTTTTGCAGCAATTTAGCAGAATCATTTGTTTTAAATTTGGTTTTTTTAAATTTTATCATTTTTTAAGATGCATCTAGTCCATCAACAATATTTTTTTGCTTTTTATAAATCTTCAGTTATCTTTTTTTTCACATCATTCAAAATTTCTGTCGCTTCTCCTTACTGTTTTGTTTATTATGATCTAGCTGTTTTCAAGTTTTCATTTTCTAATTCCACTGAATATGAAAAAAAAGAAATTTTTACATAATTCAGGCTGCTGATATGATCCTCTTGGACGATAATTTTGCTTCGATTGTCGTCGGCGTTGAAGAAGGACGTCTTATATTCGATAATCTTAAGAAGTCTATCGCATATACACTGACTTCAAATATCCCAGAGATTACTCCTTTTTTGGTGTACATTCTTCTTGGTATTCCTCTTCCTTTAGGAACAGTAACCATTCTTTGTATTGACTTGGGTACTGATATGGTTCCTGCTATATCACTTGCATACGAAGAAGCTGAGTCAGATATAATGAAGCGTGCTCCTCGTGATCCTCAGCGAGACAAACTTGTGAATGATCGGTAGAGAATTTTTTTTAAAAATGAAATTTTTTATCTTCTTTCAAAGCATTAATTAGCAGCGCCAGCTTTTTATGTAATTGTTCCAGAAATATGAATGGAATCTTTCTTTTTCTTATGCTGTCTTTTCAATCGTATTAATTTATTTTTATTGAATTTATTTACGCTACTATAGTTTTAAAACATCTTAAATTATCAATATTACAGGCTTATTTCTCTAGCCTATGGACAAATTGGATTTATTCAAGCTTCGGCTGGATTTTTTTCATATTTCTTCATTATGGCTGAATGTGGTTTCCTTCCATCGAAGCTAATCGGATTGCGAGCAGAATGGGATTCTCGTGCATATAATTCGGTTGAAGATTCCTATGGGCAACAATGGGTTCGCATTCAGTAATCATTGAAGTTATATTTATTTGTGAAACATTTTTGATATTGTTTTCTTTAGCCATACTCTAACCGAAAAATACTGGAATATACGTGTCAAACGGCTTATTTTGTTTCAATCGTCATCGTTCAATGGGCTGATTTGATTATCTCAAAAACTCGCCGTAATTCTCTCGTACAACAAGGAATGAATAATTGGACTCTTAATTTTGGTCTGGTTTTCGAAACTGCACTTGCCGCATTTATGTGCTATTGTCCTGGCCTAGATAAAGGTCTTCGGATGTATGGTCTCAGGTGAATAATTGTGATTTATTTCATTTTAATAATGTTAGTAATTTTTTTTCCTGTGTTTAAATTTTATTTTAAATATTTAAGCTATAGAATCTTGAGAAAGATTCCAATATACATGGACTTATAGATTTTTTACTTTTAGATTTTCTTGGTGGTTCCCAGCTTTGCCATTTTCGATTTTGATCTTTGTCTATGATGAAGCACGCAGATATCTCATTCGTCGTTATCCTGGTGGATGGGTTGAGCGTGAAACTTATTATTAAGTATGTTTTTGCACGATATATTTATTTTTTACATTTAAACGATGTATTTTACCATATTTTCGTGTATATAATATCTAAATTTTGCGTTTATTTTTCGAAATTTTCATACATATATCATAAATAAATAAGAAAGTTTTGAGATTTAAATGGTTAACGCTTTTTTGTTAGACTCTCATTGCTGGTTTGTATGAATTAGAAATTTTCGTCATAAAGACTTAGCGACAGGTGGATGGCGATCACCACTAGCATTTTTAATAACGATATCTTAGCTATTAAAATCAAAATGATTATATTTCATTTTTATTCATGATTCATGATGAATAGTGACATGCGGTTTTCTATTATTAATCGTATAAGCAGCTGATTAAAATTGGTGCTATTGCTTTCCAATTGGCCTTTATTACTACATTGATACGTTGATTGCCATATTTTTCGTATTTTTCCTTGACTTCTTTTGCTTTAGCTTGCATCAGCTTGTCCTATTTGAAATACTTCTTAATACCTTTCTTATGTGCTTCAAGAGGGTTCTGTTTTGAACAGAAGTAATCCTTGAGATTTTGATTAAGTTTTTTTTCAGATGATCTTGTTCAATGTACTGTCTTCTAATATTAATTGCTGTGCTTATTATCTTGTTTATTTTCTATCAAATGGAGAGGAATAACGCGTCATTTTGAATTTTACGTGTATGGATCAGCGCAGTTCCTTTTTTCTTCTTCGTGTAATACAAGCCATCTCCAACTTATTTCTTCCTAAATTAATTCATTCTATTTAAATTGTGCAAAAATGTCTTTTTGAAAAGCGAATTTCCGAATTCTTCTTCTTCAGTCGTTTTCGTTTAGATATTTTTTTTTGGTTTATTTTCAATTTTTTTAGAATAAAAAATCTGCAATGATGATTTTTTCGAATTTAACTTTGATTTATATATATTTTTTGTTTTTGTTTAAACAAATTATGATTAGTGGTAAATGAAATGTTTAGAAAGAAATAAAGTTGTGAATTATGAAAGTATAAAATAAAATATTGTATATATAAAATATAAAAAATTGAAAATATAAAAAAAAAAATGAATAATTTTTCTCATATTTGAAGAAAAAAAATGGCAAATATTAATTGAATATAAGTCGAACAGCAATAATATGGTTGGGTTGAATATCATCGAACATTTAGCAATTATGGACAAGTAAATTACTTAAGCGAATTGTATAATAGCAAAAAAATACTTAAAAAATTAATAATTTAACGAAAATAACCTCAATTTTCTCGTTTTTCATGAAAGGATTTAAGGATTTAAACGAAGTGATTCGACTACAAAATTGGATGAAAGTCTTGTTGATATAATTTAATTTAATTAACTTGGAATTAATCTAAACGAGATTCGGTTTTTTTTTTTTATAAGGCTTGATCGTCTGAATACTCAACGATCGTTTTTTTTTCTTCTTTTGGCATGTAGAAAATTATCTAAAAATTTTATAACGAATAAATTAGATCGCTTATATCGATCGACCTGGTACTATTCGTTATATTCGTGGTACTATACTATTCATTGATTCTCTAAATTTTTATAATTGGCTTATACGAATCGATATTAAATGTCTTTCTTGTTTTATGGATAAATCGAGATAGGATAAAACGATTTAATCTCTCATTCTTAATTTGACATAAAATGTGCCACAGTTTGATGTATTTTGACATTTATTGGTTTATTTAGTAATATAAATTCAGATTAAAATTAATGGTGATTTGATGATTGATTAATGAACGAATTTTATTTTATTAAAAAAAAATTTTATATGATATTGTTAAGCAAATTTTTTTTTTTTATCAATGCATAAAACATTGCGTTAAGAATTTAATTAAAAAATTTAAATTTTTTATGATGGATTTTTGGAAAGAAATTGGGAAAATTGCTTAGATTAACCAATTTTTATTTCCGATTATAATAAATTTCTTGAAAAAAACTGATTTCACAAACGGTGAAGTGTTGAAATCGACTGATAAGCTGATAAGCTGATGAGATTTAAGCGAAATCGTCTTGGACTAGGTATTATCACATGAGACAAATTGAGTTCGCTGAATATTGTCAGAGTTTAATAAAGTAGTATATAAAATTGATAACTATAAAAACTATTTGCAGTGGTAAAGAGACAATGAAGAACTAATAAATTGTCAAAATGTCAGTTTATTACAGTTTTCATCCCTTACTAGATTGTTTTTTGGGTTGGTTTGGTCGACTGCATAGGCGAAAAATTAAGACCCTTTAAATTTTTCCGAACTTAAAAATCTGCAATTCTGAAATTAATTAAAGCAAAACTTTTTTTCCACCGTCTAAGTGCATATATTACTGAACCTCCTTGAAAAACCTTTAATCGTTGTCATTCCAACTTTCGATTGGATCTCCTTTCCTTTGAGACCATCGATAGGCTTAACAAACAGCGAGATATGCGTTAATTTCCTGGATTTGATAGTGGTGAAGAATGCTAACTAGGCGACGGCTTGTAGCGATATCCTTGAAATATGAAATATTACAAGAATTGAGGTTTTATCATACGCGCGATAAGTATGTACCTTAGACTGATGGCCAAATATAGATAACTTTTTGGTATTCTTCATTCTTACTGTATAAAATTTCTGAAGAAGTTTCTGGGATTTTCTCTTTGGCTTTCACAGAGTAGGATTTTTGAAGCTTACTTCAATTCTATGGAGATGTCTGAAGAAAGCTTCTGGCGCAGCTATCCGGAATTAAAATTTCATCTGCATTAAATGCGAGAGAGACTATGAAGTATTTAAAATTTGACCACTAACCGAATCAAAGACAAGTGCAGAATCATAAAGCGAGTTATATATATTTAAAGCAATGCTCCAATATCGTTCTTCGCATGGATATTTGGTCAGCATATCCCGATATTTTGAATCCAGCTTGGTTACAGTTCACCCTGCTGCCTCGAACTAAGTTTTTTCCGTCAAACATGGGCGAAAATTTTTTCAGAGGCATTTTGCATTTTGTATAATAATTTCAATGTGTCATCATATCTCATCACTAGTCCTTGAGGATTGGGTGTATGATAACTTTGCTGCAGCCATCTAGCTTTAGTATTTTCTTTTATACCAGTATTTAGATAGTGAATTATACCAGTATATCCTTTGAAGGTGAATTCTAAAGGTATCAGATACCATTTTGACAGTTCGGTACAAGGGCAGTCCTCTCTGGCAGTCATTAGCTTTAAACTTCTGAATAATGCAGGTTATTTCTTATTCTCTTAGCAGTTCCAGTTGTATGAACTATGTCGGAGACGATAAATATCTCAAAGATATAGCGTGTTATAGTATATAAGAATCCTTTGAGAATCCCAAAATGCATCTATCCTTTCTCATTTAGCCGATCATTTCCTTCCGAGTGGCATAAGGACGAAGGCATATCAGTTCTCTAGTCTCCATATTTAGGGCCACATCGCTCCAATAGTGATGTTTTGTTTTGTTGCTGTTTTCTCAAATTTAAGTGAATGCTTTCGTAGCCTTTGATAGCTAAGATCTCATAAAATGCGTTCTTTGATGACCTTTTTGGACAATTCCATAGTCCGAGTGGCATATTCTAGAGTGGCATAGCATTTGATATCAGTTTGCTCGGATCTTCATTAAGCAATGATCAATATCTCATCTAGAATTATTTCATTTCAAATGCTCTATTTTATATATATATATATATATGGAAGAGGATTATTTTCATTTTATTGTAGGAAAATTCAAAAATTGGTTGAAATTTGATCATCAGCCGGTCTTTTTAAATTGTGTTTTAATCATAAGCGAGACCAACCACAATTCCCTGACAATTTCGATTCTCTTCAAAGTCAGAAAAACTTTAAAAAACCCATTTGCGAATAAAATGCCAGTTGATTCGATGAAAAATGTTTAACGAAAGGCTTCTCGAAGACACATTTATTTTATCACTGAACCCAACTAATATTTCGCGAACTTCGAATTCGTATTTCTGATTTCTCAATTTAATTGTAATGCATTTTGCTGGAATAAATTTAAATGAATAATTAATCAATAATTTAAATTTTATTCGAAAAATTTTACTAATAAAATTTTTATTGGGGAATTTACTTATTATTTTATATTTTGTTTTAATTTTTTTTTAAAGTAATTTCTTTATTTTAAATAATTTTTATTATCATAAATAACTCATTAATGATATAAAAACTTGGTTTTCTTTATGCGCAAAATTTTTCGAAATGAATTATTTTTCATGCATAGAGAGTAGTATTTAAATTAAATTTATTCATTAAATTTATTTATTTTTCGATAAATTTTTGATATTTTTATAAAAAATTTTGAATGAATTTTGGCTATAAATTCTCGAAAAATCATTTCTATTTTTTGAAATTTAAAAAATTTTTTAAAAAAATTTCAATTTTATCGTATAAATTCATTGAAAAAAAAAGAATTTGATATTTTTGAAAAATTATTTAAAAAAAAAAATTTTTTTTTTAAATCGGATTGATTCGCCTTATTGAAATAGCTTTATTATTTGAAGAAGCGATTGGCGAATTAGTTCTTCGAATTGCTTCTCAAATAATTTGCATTTGATTTTCATATAAATTATATATTTCTTTATTGCTTTTTATATCTCTTTAATACATTAAAAATCTATTAATTAAATTTTATAAAATATTTAATGTTTATTGTTTTGTAACTTTTTAAATTTTAGCTCTTTTAAATTGAACCATTGAACCATTGAAAATATCGCCTTGGAAACTTATTAATCGTATTCTTCGAATTTAAATCGATTATTATTACATTGAAAATAAATAAATTATTTTATCAACAATTCCCTTATCCCTTTAGGGATTTTACAAAAATTCATTTATCGTTTTTTGCCTATAAAAAAATTTGTTATATTTCTAGAAAATATTTAGAAAATATTGAAAATAATTTTTCATTAATTTACATCCATATTTTGCTAATTTTATTTTTTCGCTTCATTTGATTTAGTTTGACTT